TTTAGAGTGTGGATGATGGATGAATGGATGGATGGATGGATGGATGGATGGATGGATGGATGGATGGATGGATGGATGGATGGATGGATGGATGAATGGATGGATGGATATATGGATGGATGATAGTCAGATGTGTTTTCCCTCAGGACCTTCAGTCTGGTGTACCTGACAGGACACCACTCACCCCTGTAGCTTTGGCCTTTGTGTAGGCATACTTCTCTCTCGTGTCTCTCTCATAGCGATATGTTGGTGGAAATGTGATATCCTCTTCATCTGCAGTAATAAACAACATGGTTTTAATCTGAAAGCATCTTAATCTGAAAGCATGTCAGTACTGATCTGCGTTCTCCAAAACTCACCAAAATACAAGAAGACCTTTCCATTGCTCCTCTCCATGCTGAGCTGGTCTTTATCGAGGAGCTCCTGGTACTGCTGCTGTTTGATCTTTGACACAATGTACTCAGCTTCCTGTAGAGGGAAGCAGGGCAGTGACTGGTTGTGATTCAGCATGAGCAGCTGAGAGATCAGACATTTGACAACAGCAGCACACTCATTTATATGCTCACTGTTTGCTGTTTTACTAATCCCACAATACAGAAAATATCACCAGGGCTTCATTAGGTCATAAAATAATCTCCACTTAACTTCAGAGCAAGACATATGACACAGTGCCATTCATTATCTTATTAAAACTATAATAAAATGCAGACACAGTAAGTGAAAACCCAACTCCACTCTTCACTGCTCCCATGAAAGTTACAACGTTAATAGTTATTTTTGGCAAATCTTTGTAAATTACATCTCAAAATCAACAAAATATAGTAGCTCAGTATAAACTGACTGATTTATAGAAAAGTATGTGTTAACTAATGCAGTTTAGATGTGTCAGCCATTTTTAATTGGATTACCTCCAGAAGTTAATTAGTTGTGCAGTCAATGATGATTGGTAATTTTTTGTTTTAATAAAATGCATCCAGTGGTTTATAAGATGTTTTRTTAAAGGGATCTCTGACTACAGTCGCATATTCTTATTATGTTCTTATTCACTGTTCTATTAACAGTTGTTGTGTGACACATTAAAACTCCAAATGACTTAAAAAAAACTGTATGTGTTTGTTAAATTTTATTACATAAGCGTGTTGTCATTTTGTTACTGACGTGTTGCATTTTGTTGATGATGGGTTACAGTTGAGTCTAAAACACAAAAAGTCAAGGCTACAAAGTTACAATAAGTGGTGATAAAGCTGTTTTTAAATAGCAGATTCTACATTCTGCACAATAAAAGTGTTGGAATATTTATTATCTCTGGAACTGTCATCGTATTTATTAGATCTGGAGCTAACATATGGAGAGCCCTTTTAT